ACCCAATAGATCTTTTTAAAAAAATTCTCCAGCCAGGCATAGTGGCACATGCCTTTAATCCCTGTACTCAGGAGGCAGAGCCAGGCGGACCTCTGGGGGATAGAGGCCAGACTGGTCTACGTATGAGTTCCAAGCCAGCTGGGGCCACAAAGAGACCATGCTCAAAAAGAACAAACATCTCCATGTTCTGCCTCTCTGTCCCCTCCTCCCCTTTGCCCTAGAAACCGCAGCTGTTTGTACTGCTCCCACAGTATAGCATTTCCAGAGTGTCATAAAGTTGGTTTCGTACAGTGCATAGCTTTTCAGATTCACGTGGTGAATGTCCTTTTGTGCTTTGATAGCTTTTTTTTGGTGCTAAATAATATTCCACTAGCTGGGTATACCAAAATTTATTGATTGATAAATAAATAAGACATCCGGGTTGCTTTCAAGTATGACAGTTATGAATAAAGTTTCTATAAGCACCCACACATAGGATTTGTGTGGACATAAACTTCCAAGTCATTTGAATAAATATCAAAGACTATGGTGGCTGAATTATATAATAAGAGCATGTTTAATTTTTAAAGAAGCTGACAATTTTCCAAAGTTGACATCTTCATTTCTTTCCTGTTGCTGTGATAAATCACCCTGATAAAAAGAACTTAAGAGAGAAAGGGTTTATCCTGATTCACAGTTCAAGGGTTTGGTCTATCGTGGCAGAAAGTCAAGGCCACAGGAGCTTGAAGCAGCTGGTCACACTCCATCCACAGTCAGAAAGCAGAGAGTGATGCTGCTGCTTAGCTCCTTTTCTCCATCTGTAGAGCAGCAGACAGTCAATATCAACTATCATCATGGTTGTACTATTTGTTTTCTCTCTAGCAGTGAATGAGAGTTCTTGGTCCACACCCTTACCAGTATTTGGTATTGTCAATGTTATGCTTAAGAAGAAATTGATTGCCCCACACTTCCCTTCTGTCCCTTTCCCTGAAGCCAGAGCGGAGGAGCAGCAGTGTGCCTAAGATTCCAACTTTAACTGTGCAGATGAGGATAATGCCCTGAGGCCATTGGTTTTCAAACATAAATGTGCTTGAGACTCACGTGGTGACTCCTCCTCTTGGTGTTTCCAATTCAGCAAGTCTATGGTGGGGCCCAAGAACTTGTGTGTCTAACAAGTTCATGGTGATGGTCACTCTCTTGGTTCAGGAGCCACAGATTGAAAACCACCACCCTGGAATGTATCAGAACAGTGAGGCAGAGCTGGCCATACAATCTAGGACTCTCGCTTTCTGGACCAGCAGGCAGAGACCTGTAGACTTCTATTCCTGTCAAGTCATTTGTGATGCTTAATTTTGTGTGCTGTGATTACAAGTACACACCACCACCACGACTCCTGGCTTTTTTTTTTTTTTTTTTTTAAAGCGAGTTCTGGGGATCAAACTCAGGTCTCTATACTTACAAGGTAAGTGCTTAATTGACTGGGCCATCTCTCTAGCCCAGTGATGTGCTACTTTTATGTGCTAATTTTACTGGACCGTGGGATGTCCCACGAGCTGGTGTAATGTTATTACCATGGGTGTCTGTGGGGTTTTCAACAAGAGATTAGTATTTTTATTGCCAGACTGGGTAAAACAGACCTACTCTCACCAAAATGGGTGACCATCATCCAATCCCCTGAGGGCCTGAATAGAAGTGAAAAAAATGTGAAGGAAGGGATGAGACTGGAGAAATGGCTCAGCAGTTAAGAGCACTAACTGCTCTTGCAGAGGACCCTGGTTCGATTCCCAACACCTACATGGCAGCTAACAACCATCTGTAATTCCAGTTCAAGAGGATCTGACGCCCTCTTCTGACCTCCACCAGCAGTGCACAGCATGGGTGCACTTATATACATGTAGGAAGTACTTTCATACACATAAAAATAATAAATAACAAATGTGAAGAAAGGGAGAATTCACTCTCATCTTGTGTAGGGACCTGGCATTCTTCGGCATCCAAACCCTGGGGCCTGCAGAGTCCCCAGTAAGTGGCACTTCCCAATCCCAATCATGTTTCTCTGGGCTTCAGACTCTGGCTGAGTGGCATCACTGGCTTTCCTGGATCTCCAGCTTGCAAACGGCAGACTGTGGGAGTTCTTCCCACCACTGACTGAATGAACCAATTCCCATAATGAACTTCCTATACAACGATATGTTCCTGTATTCATTTCTTTTCCATTGCTGTGACAAAATACCTTAACAAAAACAACTTAAGGGAGAAAGGGCTCAATTTGGATTACGGTTCAGGAGAGGTGGAATACCTCACAGCAACAGGCATGGAAGGTGCGACAGGAAGAGCAGGAAGCTGGCTCACCACACTTCGTCACACTCCAGAAACAGAAAGAGGAAAACAGCAAGTAGAGCCAGGCTATAAAACCTCAAAGCCCATTCCCAGTGCCGTAAGTCCTGAAACACCACCACTGACTGAATGAACCAATTCCCATAATGAACTTCCTATACAACGATATGTTCCTGTATTCATTTCTTTTCCATTGCTGTGACAAAATACCTTAACAAAAACAACTTAAGGGAGAAAGGGCTCAATTTGGATTACGGTTCAGGAGAGGTGGAATACCTCACAGCAGCAGGCATGGAAGGTGCGACAGGAAGAGCAGGAAGCTGGCTCACCACACTTCAGTGGGTGGGCTAGGTCAAACAAGCAGGCCTTGGAGGTCTGGCTTTCACCTCCACCCTCACTCTCCCAACCTTTGATATTAAGACTTTCTTCAATTCCCACACTCTCCCCTACAGTGATTAAGCCTGTAGAATACAATATAAAGTTGGCTGTACAACTTGATTGTAACACAGCAATTTGATTTTTCGCAACCAATGCCATGTTTAATGTAGGCGTGTAATTGACTTCTCATTATTTTTAAAAAGGAATTGGTAGCTTATTTGTGCTTGAGCAGCCAAGGCTCTAAATGCCTGTCCTCTTTTGAGAGAGAAAACAAAAAGAGGAAGGGAGGGGAGGGGAGTTTGGGAAAAGAACATGGTGGCCTGCATCTCCAGGTAGCCTGCCTCAGAGCTTATGAGCCCTGTGTTGTGTTGCCAAGGTTGTGTGTTTCCTTCCTGTCCTACTTCATTCATGCTACTATAATAAAAGCCACACACCAGGTAATTTATAAATAGCAGAAATTAATTTCTCACTGGGAACCCAACCCTGGTCCTCTGCCAGAGCAGCCAGTGCTCTTAACTGCTGAGCCATCTTTCCAGCCCCTAGATCTTCACTTGTTAATATTATCACACTGGGATTTAAGTTCCTATATCTTTTGATTTTACATGTACTTATTACTATGTGTGTGCTCATACCACAGCACACATGTAGAAGTCAGAGGGCAAAATGCAGGAGTTGGTTCTTTCCTTTTACCATATGGGTTCTGGGGACTGAACTCAGGTCATGAGTCTTGGCGACAAGCACCTTTACCTGCTGAGCTATGGAGAATCTATTTTTGTTCACCCCAGGTAGAGAGGGCAATAACACACCAAAGAAACAATTCCAGGCAAGTCCAGCTTGGTGAGCCAGTGAGCCTCCCAGGGGTTACCTACAGAAGCATGAGCAGCTACCCTGTAAAACCAGAGTCCCTCCCTGGCAGTCGTTGACTGCCCCCTAGCCTCAGAAATGGGTGTGGCCTTGTGAGCCTCCTCAAGTTGGTTCTTTCCTTTTACCATATGGGTTCTGGGGACTGAACTCAGGTCATGAGTCTTGGCGACAAGCACCTTTACCTGCTGAGCTATGGAGAATCTATTTCTGTTCACCCCAGGTAGAGAGGGCAATAACACACCAAAGAAACAATTCCAGGTAAGTCCAGCTTGGTGAGCCAGTGAGCCTCCCAGGGGTTACCTACAGAAGCATGAGCAGCTACCCTGTGAAACCAGAGTCCCTCCCTGGCAGTCCTTGATTGCCCCCTAGCCTCAGAAATGGGTGTGGCCTTGTGAGCCTCCTCCTCTTTCTCTATGAGGCTTAGTCATGTGCTCTGATTTCAAACCAGCAATGTTGCCCCCAGGGAACAGAGTTCACTTACAGTGAATTTTGGGAGACATTTCTATTTAACCCGTCACACTCCCCTAACCTTGGGTTAGAAAGACTCAGTTTTGGTTGTGAGAACACCAACTTCCTCCACTCCCGGTGCTCATTGCCCAGAGTAAGGCACTATGTTGCTCTCAGTAGCCCAGAAGCGGCCTGAAAGTTTGGCTTTGCTTCACCTGCACTTTGTGAACTTGTGCAGTCAACAAAATAGTCTTCCAACTGAAGGTGGAAAACTCTCAATAAATAGAAAGTTTAGGCTAGGGTGAGGTGGGGGTGGGGGAGGGTGGTTCAGTAAAGTGTAAGCATTAGAACCAGAGTTTGATCCTCAGAATCCAAGTAAAGAAAGGCTGGGCATGGTGGCACCTGCTTGCAATCCCAGCACCAGAGAGAAAGAGAGAGACAAGCAGATCTCTGGGGCTTACTGGCCAGTCAGCCTAGCCTATTTGGCAAGTTCCAGGCCAGTGAGAGACCCATACAGGATCCAGCCCTTAGGAAACAGTGGGGCTGTGGCTGCACTAATTTTTATTACTCTGGCTCAGGTTGCCAGACATACCAGGGCAAGGGGTGTCTGAACAACCCGAGGAAGTACAATCATTTGACTAAAAACTGAAAATCAGACTTGGTACCTGGAATCCGAAGCTGTAGTCTTAGGACAGGAAATAAACAAAACGACCACCGCACAGGCTCCCAAAGCCTCTGCCAGCAGCTCGGGCGCTGATCAGATGGATCAATAGCAATTTGGGGCGCTAGCAGGGGCGCCATCTGAGTCGTTCAGATGAGCTGAACATGATGAGTTCCGGCGGCTTCCTGGGTCCTCGGGGAAGCACACGCGCCATCCACTTAGCGTTGGAGCCTGGCCATTCTCCGGCCACTCCCACCTTCCTCCTCCAGGCCCGGCCTGGATGCTCCAGTCTCCGCACACTCCTGTCCCGCCCCAGGCTGCTCCATCTGAAAGGATGGAGGCTGGGGGGCCGTCCCAGGCACAGAGGTGCTGCCCAGAGGCCCTGGGGAAGCTCCTTCCTGGCCTCTGCTTCCTGGGCTGCCTGGTGACCTATGCGCTGGTGGGTGCTGCCCTCTTCTCTGCCATTGAGGGCCGCCCTGACACAGAAGCAAAGGAGAACGTCGAGCTGAAGATGTTCCTGGAAGAGCTGTGCAGTATCCTGACGTGTAACAGGACAGGTGGGTGCCTCTGAGCGCTTACTACCTACCGTGCAGCTCCCAGGGTAGGAGGCTGGGAGCAGGTTGCCTGTATCCTCCTCTCCTCTGGCAGAACTTAGTCTCAATTTTCTCCTCTGGTCAGTGGGAAGATGAACAAGCAGCCTCTCTGGGGTACACTGAGAAAAGTAAGAGTGCTGAGCAGGTACTCCCAAGGGCCAGCCCTCTCTTCCCTGTGCCACAACTCCCAGCCCCACCCAGTCTCCAGGGCTCAGGGGACCGTGGATTGCTGAAGATTTAGTGGGCTGGGCAAGGTGAGTGAACTAACCATTCCCACCCCACCCAAGATCCACTTTGCAATGAAGATACTTCAAGGAACCATCCAAACTGGGCTTGAATCCCCAGGATGAGCAAGCAGCTTCCTAGTTTGTAGCTGTTGTCCATCATGGGCTGGGGGACGGGGGTGCTGTGAGGAAAAGTTGGGGCTGGAACTGGTTTGTTGTCCTAGCCTGCCAACGGACCCACAGCACCAGGTCCCTTGTCAGTATCCTACAGTGGTCTCACAATCTCAGTGAGACCTGCCAATCACAGAGACCCTTTCGGGAAGCAGAGATAGATGATGGACATAAGGTTTCTATAAGACAGAAGACATTTGATAGGTGTCTGTACTTTGATTTGTGTTTAGTCACTTTCTTTGTTCTCCAAAGGAAGCTTACAAAGATGTGGTCCACAGAGCAAGAGGGAAAAAAAAAGTGCAAAGGATGAAAAAAGGATAAAAGAAAAACAGGTTCTAAGAGCCAGGGGCAGCTGCTTTCCCTCTGTGTGTGGCCCTGCCTGGCACTGCTTCCCTCTAGCTGGAACCTGCTTTGGGAGCAGGTCTCCTCAGCTGGGGTTGCCTGAAGGCTGGTCCAGGGAAGCAGAATCTCCCTCTGTGGAGAGTCCCTCTTCCTGGTCCCTGACCACACAGACACGGGTCTCACAGGTCTACTCGGTAGGTCAGTGAGATGACCATTGGTGTTGCCGGGACACTTGGAGCTATGACAGGGTCTGGATCTCCAGCAAGGTTAAGGCTCTCCAATACAGCCCATGTGTCCGATTCATCCAAGGAGCTTGTTTCATATAACATGTCCAGGTTCTTCCTCGGGCGATGGGCTAAAAATCTTGTTTCAAAGGGCTCCTGGATGCACAGACAAGTGTGAGGTCACGAGCTTCATTTTGCACCAATTTCCGTGGGAAAGTACAGTGCCGAATAGCTGTTGGCTAAACGCTTTCACACATTTTCTCTCTTAGGCCTTCCTACAGCCCATACCTTGGCTATGAATTGTCTTCCATTTACAGATTAGGAAACAGAGGCCCTGGAAGTAAAGTTCAAAGTTCACAAACTAGGTAAATGACTCCCAGGATTCCATACCAGGCACCTAGTATCCAGAGTCTGAGCCTCTTATGAGGCCACACAGCGTCCCAAATGGGGAAATTGAGGCTCAGAATGCAGCCCCTTGTCTAGAGCAACAAGAAGTAGTTAGGGTGAATGCACATATGCTTGCCCGGACGCTGATGCTGGTGCCATTCAAATGGGTGGTGACTGCCCCTGAGTGCCAGGCTTGGTGCCATCATCTCAGCCTAGGGGCCAACACTTCCCACCCCAAGAGACAGCATCTGGGGCTGGTACCGGGAACCCAAACCCATGGACTCAGAGTCCTGCAGATGCAGTGCTTGTCTGCTTAGTCCTGCAGATGCGGTGCTTGTCTGCTTAGTCCTGCAGATGCGATGCTTGTCTGCTTAGTCCTGCAGATGCAGTGCGTGTCTGCTTATTACATACAGCCTGACTTGCTGAAAGCCTCTGCTTTCAGTTCTGCAGAATTTCACAAGAGCCAGCAAAAGCTTTTATTCCTCTTTGAAATGAATAAAGATCAGACATGGTGGTGCTTAACTATAACTCGAGCACTTGGGAAGTAGACGCATGAGGATTGCTACAAGTTTGACATCAACCTGTTCTAAATAGAACGTTCTAGGCCAATCAAGGGTACATAGCAAAACCCTGTCTCAAAAAATAACAACAAATAAACAAAGGCCCCTAAACAACAATAACAAAACAAACAAGAAGAAAGTGAAAGAAATGTTTCTGAAAGTTAAAGAAATCCTCCAAAGGGTTGAGGATATGGTTCAGTCAGGAGAGAGATTGCCTTGCATGCGCAAAGCTCTGGGTTCAATTCATAGTACCACATAAACCAGTCATGATGGCCCATCAAGGAGGAAAAAAGGAGGGAAGGAAGAAAGGAAGGAAGGAAGGAAGGAGGGAGAGAAGGAAAGAAGGGAAGAGGAAGAATGAAAGGAAGAAAGGAGGGAGGGAGGGGAAAAAGGAAGGAAGGAAAGAAGGGGGAGGGAGGGGAAGAAGGAGGGAGAGAAATGAAGAAGGGAAGGAAGGAAGGAGGGAGGGAGGAAGGAAGAAGGAAGGAAGGAAGGAAGGAAGGGAAAAGGAGGTGAAGAAGGGAGGGAGGGAAAGAGGGTGGGAAGGAAGGGAGGGAGGGAAGGAAGGAAGGAAGGAAGGAAGGAAGGAAGGAAGGAAGGAAGGAAGGAAAGAAGGAAGGAATCTCCCTAAGGCTGCAGACTAATTCTGGAGCTAAGCCCAGGTCCCACCAGGGCTGTGTGTTAAGTGCTCTTTTCATGGGGCCATGTGACCCTTGGTCTCCATAGACACCAACAGCTGAATCTGAGCTGTGGAAACATTTTCAAGATCCCTGAGAGCCAGGATGTGGTATTGATGAGGACTACAAAGGTGGAAGGGGCTGTCAGACAGAGCTCTTTTCAAACTCTTGTCTCTCTCCAGTGGTGGAAGGCAAGAGTAAGGACCTGCGGGAACATCTGCAGAAGGTGAAGCCCCAGTGGTTCAAGGCACCCGAGGACTGGTCCTTCCTGAGCGCCCTCTTCTTCTGCTGCACGGTGTTCAGCACGGTGGGTAAGTGCAAAGACCTGCCCTGCAACCTCCTGCTGCAACCACAGCCTACCTGGAAGAACTATGGGGCACACCTGCTGGTGGGCGTGCTGGGACATTCCTTTAATCCAATACAAGGAACAGTGGTGGTGCGCCTAGCCCTGCCAGGAGACATAGGAGGGTGCTGTTCTTAGGGCAGTGTATAGTAGGAAGCAGGGCTGCCATTTGTCCATAGGCACCAGGATGCAAATTAGAAGATAGCATCCTTCTTTAGGTCAGTGTAGCCCCGTGCCAGGGCAGAGGCACCAGGGAACAAGGTACAGGCTAGATTCTGGCTTTCTTGTTCCCTTGGCTCACGTATGAAACAATCAGCCCGCTGTACATGCCTGGACCAACTGGGAACAGGGCAGATGTGGCTCCAACTCACAGGCTCCTGAACAAGACAGAAGTACTGACAGGTGACCAAATGGGGTCTCTGTGTGACAAAGATGTGCTTAGGGGAAACTGAGAGTAAAGAGGTGGTAGCCCCATCATGGGGTGGAAGCATCCCAGTAGTGAAACTTATAGGCCAGCTGCGGGGGTGGCATTGTACTGAGCCTGTTAGGGGAGCAGGAGTTCCAGGGTGGGAAGGCCAGGTGTGCCAAGGTCATTCCAGATCCAGCACAGCACAAGCAAGGGCCAGGCAACCTAAAGAATGGCTGATACTGTTAGGGTGTTACATCGGCGATGCAGGGAAGTGAGACAGAGGCAGAGGCCAGACCATGGGGCTGAAGGGGCTTCTTATTCTGAGGGAGTGGGAGTGTCCAATGGGCTTCCAGGAGGGGAAAGACCTAGTGTCTCAGCATCCCAGAGAGCCCTGCAACTTCAGGGCAGCTGAAGGGAGAGAAGATGGATGGAAGGCTTCTGCAGCCTAGGTGGATGGTGATGGCAACGTGAGCTAGGACAACAGCTGTGATGTTAGAGACAGAGAATCAGCTTTCAGGAAGATCAAGAGTAACTGGACATGGGGTGGGGAGGGCTTCAGGCAGACACTGGGCTTTCTGCCTTGTATGATGGGATGGGTGTCTTAGGAGTATGGTAAAGCTGGGAGCTGGAAGTAGAGGCACTCAGTTCTTGGCCAGCGGGAGTTGACTTCCCCCTAGTGCCTTCAAGGGAGACATCCAGTACTGCTGGGCATGTGGGCCTGAGGCTCAGAGTGAGGGCTGGGATTGGAAAGTGGGTTTTAGACTCGCTAGCATGTGGGTAATAAGTGACTCCTTTGAAACGATCAGAGCTGTAAGGAGGGTGTGGTGTAGAGATGGATGTACAGTGTGCCAGAGCACCAGGATCTGGGCACAGCAGAGTAGGAGTTAGTGGGAATGAAAACTATGACACAGTCCAAGCCATGTCCAGTTGCTGCTTGGGATGCTCACAGAGGTTCTGGGGATGGGGTGATGTGAGCTTCGTGTTCTGAGTCCAGAGAGGTGAAGTCAGAGACCAAGGTGTGAAGTTAGGGATCATGAACAGACTTTGAGACCCTCGGTCGAGTGCTATTCCCCCCCAAAGATGGGTGCTGACCTTGTAGGTCCGTGGGGGTGCTACAGAGCCCTGCCCTTTCCTGCCCAGTAAGCTGTGCCTGGTCTCAGGGACAGCCAAGATTCCCAAGTCTCCTTGAGGGAGCACTGGAGCAGACTGTGGCCCAGGAGGGGAGGCATTCCCAGAGAGGACAAAGCTGCCCTCTCCTCGTCCCTTCACTTGCCTTGTGCCCTGGTCTCAGGTGAAGGAAACATTCTGTACGTACAGTTGTCCTTCTACAACCCAGGAAGGGTGAAGGCTTAGGTGAGGACAGCCTCTCTGCTCTGACCAGCCACTCATTTAAAAATAAGTTCTGAGGACCTTCAAAACCACACATTCTCTTTTCAAAGGCCACACAAAAGCTAGAATTCTGAATGACAGAGGACACTGGAACTGGCGTGTGGAGATCCCCCCCGCCCCCACCACCCCTCCACTCTCCTCTCTTTGTTCTACAAATGCATAGCTGCACTGAAGATGTTTCAGATTTTCTGTCCTGTGTGTCTGTGTGTGTGTGTGTCTGTGTGTCTGTGTGTCTGTGTGCCTGAGTGTCTGTGTGTGCCTGAGTGTCTGTGTGTATGTGTGTGTATATGTGTGTGTGTGTGTCTGTGTGTGCCTGAGTGTCTGTGTATAGGTGTGTGTATATGTGTGTGTGTGTGTGTGTCTGTGTGTGCCTGAGTGTCTGTGTGTGTGTCTATGTGTGTCTGTGTATATGTGTGTGTGTGTGTGTGTGTGTGTGTGTATGTGTGTCTGTGTGTCGGTGTCTGTGTACTTGTGTGTGATCTCAGATCAAGCCTACAGCCTTGTGCAGTTGAGACAAATACTCCATCACTGAACCCCATCCCCAGGTCTAACTTCTTCATGAAGATCTAATCCTATAACCAGATAGGTATAGTTATCATACTCCAGACGGGGAAACTCAGACATGGTCACATAGCTTATGTGTACTTGAACCCAGGCCATCCCTGACCATAACCTGACACTCCAATGTCTCTGTATACAACCCTCTGTGCCCCATCACACAGAAACTGGCTGGATATGCTCCCTGCCCAGGGAAGCTTCCAGTCTGGAAACAGAGAGGGACAGTAGATGTTAAGCCCATGGTCTGACAAGCGTCCATGCTGAAGAGCCCTCAAAGGGAACAGCTGAGATGGGGGCAGGTGAGATAGGATGGGAAAAGTGTTGGCTTATCTTGTGAGGAGTAAGGGCTTCCCTGTAGAGGTAACAGATCAAAGGGAAGGAAGCTTCCCAGGCAGGAGAAATGTTCCCCATAAAATCCAGAGCTTAGTGGCCCCTTTAGGGAAAAGTATCTCCAGGAGAGTTGTAGGAACCCTTCTGAGGAGGGAGCCTCCTGGCCTATGGGGAGACTTGGGCTGTGTGTCCTGGGCCAGCATTAAGAGCATGCTAGGTTCCAAGCTAGCCTGGCTGCCATCTGGCAGTGGAGCAGATAGGCCAGCCTGGAGGGGCCAAACCAGGAGCTCTTAGGTCAGACCCCTCACAGGGAGCATGGTCCCTTGTTCAGTTGCTCCACCTCCTGGCCAGCAAGAGGCCCAGGGCTCCATCCTTAGGAGGGCTGGGTCCACAGGGGCCACAAAAGTTGCCACTGAGCACTGTCCCTCAAATTCAGGGTGGTGAACCGTAGTGTACAGCTATGAAGGCTGGCCACCCAGACTCAGAGCTGGGTAACCTCCAACAAGGGACATGATCCTCTGAGCCTGGTGCCTGGACCCTAGACCTGCCTCCAGGACACTTGAAAGGGCGGGCGAGACCATATGTGTCAGTGGCAGCCATAGTGCTTTTAGTGGCAGCTGCCTACAACCTGACCCAAGCCATGGACCTCTACTGCAAGTAGACTGTAAGTCAGGGGATGTCTGTGGCTCTGCTGGCCTGGAATATCGAAATTTTTCCATCTTCTACTCAGTGGGTCGCAAGAGGCCCACAAGATTCATGTCGTTTTTAGACATAACTCCATCTATTAAGGAAAGGGCTGCCTGTCCCTTTCTTGCCTGGGGTTCCCATAAAACCAAAGAGATCTTGACGTCCGAGAACGCCTCCCACTGACCCCCTTCCCGCTCCCCGACTGCTACAGCAAGGGGTGGGCTCACTGGTTGACCAAGATCCAACCAATCTACTCTTACATAGGGGATGGCAGTTTAAGGAGGACCAGACTTCTCAGTGAGACACCAGCATCTGCTTCCACATACTCTACACATGCCCCACAAGCTCCAAGGATGCTCTTGCAGCCCCCATGGGTCTTTCAGAACCAGCGTTGGTTGCTTGAATGTGGAGACAAGCAGGTGTGGGCAGCGGGACAGGTGACAGGCAGAAAGTGTAAACAACAGCTCCACACCCAGCGAGTGTCCAGCTGGGGTCAAGGAGCTGACATGCTGTGACCACCCCCTTCCATGGGTTCTGAGCCAGCCAGGGCCAGCGGGGCAGAGATCAAGGCCTGTATCAGTTACTTGTTTTATAGCTGTAACAAAAGCAACTGCAGAACAAAGGGTTGGTTTCGGCTTGGTGGAGGACACAGTCCGTCATGGTAGGGAAGCCGTGGCAGGAGTGTTTGGCAGCTGGTCGCTTTGCATCCCCAGTCAGGAAGCAGAGAGCGTTGAACGCTTGTGCTCAACTCTCTCTTTTCTATTCAGTCAGGGACCCCAGCTCATAGAATGGTACCATGCACATTTAGGGTGGGTCTTCCCTCCTCAATTAACCCAGCCTTGAAAATCCCTCCCAGAGGTTCTTTTCAATGGTGACCCTGTAAAATTGACAACTGAGATTAACCACCACAAGCCCCAAGCTGCCCTTCAAAGGTTCCCTAAGTCCAGGGGCCACTATGAAGAAGTGCAGTTCAGGAGAAAGGGGACAAGCCAGAGGGCTGAGAGAGCTGGGTAGGCTTGTCCTTTGCTTTGATTTTCTTGTTTAAGAACTTAGTCAGAGCTAACTAACTCCCAGGGTCTCAACTCCGGCCCTGTGCCACCAAAACTGGCTAAATCTCTGTCATGGGAGTCTGACCCATGCATTGTAATAAGCCAAGCAGCATCTCAGGCCTCCATATCCTAGACATGGGAACAAGTCCCCCATTGCCCTCACCCACTGTATTCACCAAAACCATCTCCAGATATTTCCAGATGCCATCTGCTGAGAACCCCAGATCCACCACAATGGCTGCCAAGGTGTCTTGGATCTGTGGTATCCGTGCAATTGTGGAATGTGTTAGGAATACAAATGCGAGCTCAGCTCCATCAGGTGTGGTGCCTGCAATCCTGTCTTACCCAGTCCTAGATTTATGTCCCTGAGGAGGACCTTGAACTTTTGGTCTCCCTGCTTCCACCTTTCAAGTGCTGAGACTACAGGCTTGTGCCATTATGCCCGGGTTGTGGGGTGCTAGGTATTGAACCCAGAGCTTTGTGTATGCTGGACCAGCACTCTACCAGCTCAGCCACATTCCCAGACCCTCTGATACATGCTAACACTGGAGAAGTTCTGACTTCTCCACATAGAAGACACTCAGCCCCTGTGGACTCTGCCCCAGACCTATCAAGTCAGAATCTTTTTTATAAAAGATTTTATTTTTAATTATGTGTCTATATGTGTGGGTATGTGCACATGAGTACTGGGGCCACAGATGCTAGAAGAGGGTATTGAACCCTCCAGAACTGGAGTTACAGGTAGTTCTGAGCTACCCGAGGTGGGTACTAGGAACAGAACTCAGGGCTTCTGCGAGAGCAGTATGTGCCCCTAACCACTGGGCAATTTCGCCAGTCCCCTCAAGTCAGAATCTTTAGGAAGCAAACCCAGGCATCCGTATATTTTAGAGCCCTCCAGGTGATTCTAATGGGAATCCAGGCTGAATTACTGACGTCCTGGAAATGCATTAGCTTAGTTGAAATCTCAGGAAAGCAAAAACCACTCCCCATTGTATGAGTCAATTAGAGCAGCCAGTGCCTATGACCTCCTCCCCCCGGAAAGAGGATGTGGAAGGAGTGTCCACAGTGCCTGTAATCAGTGCTGGGTTTGGAGGTCCCTCCGGAATGCTGCTTTGGCCCTGCTTCTCTGACTCAACCTGAAAAGCTCCTGGTCCTGACAGGTGTGAGGCTGGTCAATGCGCACCTGGGTAAGCTCCCTGGGAGCTGGAAGGAAAATGCCTGCGCTGTTAAATACATGAAGGCTAAGTGCAGTGGGCTGATTGTACTGGAATCTATGGATACGTTACAGGGCGTGATACAGTTTTCTGTCCAACACTTCAGCATGCGGTAATTGGGGCAGTTAATACATTCCCTCTGTGACTATGTCCCTCTATGACTTGCTTCCTAGGGATCTTTTCTAGAAACTTCTGGACTGTGAACATGTGTCAGAGGGTCTTGTGAAGCCCAGCTTTGTCAAGGAGAACCTTGGGTTGGACATGCACATGGACTAAGTCTTTGGGCAAAGGGTGCAGATCCTTGTGGGCTGCGGGCTGTGTGACCCAGAACAGGTCAGCAGCTCTCTCTGTTTATTGTCCATTAAATGCAGTAATGGAGATTGTCAGTTCTGCTGCATATGGAATTTTGATTCTAAAAAGCACTTTACAGATGGTGTAAGCAATATTAGAGTCTCTTCTTTAAATCGAAGTAAATTGAAATAAACTTAACCCTGGGCCCCTAATACCGGAGGCTGGGGGCAGGGTTACTACCTACTTTTGAAGAGCCTCTCCTAAGCTCCCTGGGAGTGCATGAGAACCAGGAGGCTTATGTTCTGTCTGGGAAATGGGCTGGTTCCCTGGACTTCTTAAGTGCCTGTGACATCCCTAAGGGCTGATGGCCCTGTGGGGCTCATGTTAGGCTTGGGCACAGGACTCTTCCCTGAGCCCAGTATAATGTTTTAGGTACAGAGAATAGAGCCTAGAGTCAACGTCATCTCTTGTGGACCCCATGACCCAACCTTGAGGGGTTCCTCTGCTTCCAGGACAGCCAGGAAAATCTCTACCTGCGTGTTCCCAACCCCACCCACAAGTGCCTGGCATAAAATGGGTCATTTGACAAATCATTTACTCATGTGCTGGGCACTGTGCTTGGCCAAGTGGGTGAGAGAACTCTCCACGCAGATGGTAAGACTAACAATATGAAAATTCCCACAGATCAGTGGGATGGGCATGCCAGTTGTCTTGGTTTCTACTCTGTTGCTGTGATGAAATATGCGGACAATAGTCACTTAATGGAGAGACTATTTAATCCACTCACAATTCCAAGCTCTCTTCCATCATGGCAGGGGAGTCAGAGTGACGGAAGCTGGTCACATATCACATCCACAGTTTAGAGCAAACAGCAATGAATTCATAATGCTTGCTAGTGCTCATTTAATTTTTATCTCTACTTTTTCTCCAATTCAGGACCCCAAGCCTAGGGAATGGCATCACCCATGGTGGGTGAGCCTTCCCACATCAATGAGCATAATCAAGATAATCCCACACATTCTCCGAGGGCAGTCTGGATTATATCGAGTTGATAATGAAAACTAAGCAGCACAGCTGTCAGAGAAAACAGTAAAGGAGGGGATGAGGAGGGAGGGGACAAAGGCACAGTTGTGAATGAGGTGGCCAGAGGAGCCCTTTGAGACCACTGCTACCTTCTTCTGAGAATAGAATTGAAGGAAGCTAGGGAGCAAGTCATGAGCCATGTGGAGTACGTTTTAGGTACAGAGAATAGTAGGTGCAAATGCCCTGGGGTCAGAGCCTGCCTGGCATGTATGAGGGACAGTAAAAGCAGGTCAGAGAGAAGGGAGAGTGGGAGATGAAGGTGGGGGTTCCAGGGTCTTATGGGCATTGCGAAGACTGGTTTTTACCCTGAGTGAAATGGGAAGCTGTGGAGAGTTGCAATCAGATCCTGCTTCCTGAAGGGATTGTTCAGGCCTATGACTCAAGGTTATTCTCCAAGTGCCCCCATATCTTGGGAATTAAGTGTTACCTCCCCTTTTGCACCTGAGGAAACTGAGACAGCAAGTGATAAAGACCCCTGGCCCAGGTCACAGAGCTTGCGGGCCACAGGAAAAGGCATCAAACGCCACCTCTGGTTCCAGAGCACACGGTCTTAACCACAGGGCAATGGTTCCTCTTGTCTTTCTGGGACTCTGAAAAACTTCTCTGACAGGGAACTCACTCAAAAACCAACACATTTACCAAGGACTCAGATATGCCAGCTCTGTGCTCCAATCCCTAGTACCTCTCTGATGCCCCAAGGCACCCCTCCTCCCTTTAAGCCTGTAGACCCCACCCATCTCCCAATCTTACCTCAGTACCCTCCCCATGGATCACATTGGCCTTCTCTTGGCCTCATATACAGTGACAGCTTCACTCTGATGACACTTTGGTAAAACTTTAGACTCCCCTCCAGGAAGGCATGGGCCTGTGTGGTGAGCCCTGAGCTCATAACTTGGTAAGGCTCTCACTCCCTTGATACATGTGCACTATACAAACCCACCACATGAACCCACTGCAGGGCCTTTGCACTTGTGAATGCTGTTTCTTGACCTGGCTAGTTCTTGGACCTCCTTTCAATCTCTACTCGAGAGTCACCTTACCAGGAAACCTTTCCTGAGCTTAGATCCAGGCCGGAAGCCTTTGCTTTAATCACACTTGGAATAGTTCATTCTCTTCTTGTGATTGGTCTTCATTTGTGCCACATAGTCACATGTGTGGTTATTTGATTAACATCTGTGTCCCTCAGACCAGAAGCCTAGCGAGGTTGGAGACTGTAAATGTTTTGCTCGCTACTGTGTCTCTAGTGCATGCAGTAAGCACTCAATAAGTACTCACTGAATTAATAAATGAATGAATACATGGAGTTAACTCACCCTGCCGTCACATGGTCCCCATCCTCCCTCCATCCCCCGATAAACAGCCAATAGTGTTGAGACAGATGAAAGGGGTCCGATGAGGCCCTTCCAGGGTCACAACTCCTTATCCCCTGCTCTGGGACCCTGGTGAGGTGGGCATCTCACAGCCTGCCTGCACCCACAGGAGGAAAGGACACTGAATGATGCTCAGCCTGCCCAGGAATTGCCTTCACATTAACTTACATAATTAATGCATTTTCTGTATTAACCAAAAATTAAACACAAACATTAAACAACAAAGCCTTTCACCTGTGCTTCTCGAGAGTTCTAAAAGCTCCAAACATCTGTGCTGTGGGGTTGCTAGCCCTGTGCCTGTCCTCTGCAGACAGGAGGGTGGCTTGGGAGTGGCAGAAGGGTCAGCCCCTGGTGGGCCAGACAGTTCTCACTGGATGAGGATCCCATCCTGAGATTGGAACAGTGTTTGGGCCTGAAGGGCCCTGTGGACTAGACTCTCAGTTCCACCCTTTATCACAGGTATGCTCTGGATCAAACTGCCTGTCCCTCTATCAAGGCAAGCCTCATGTCAGACTCGTGATGAATGCTTTGTGGTGAATGTTTGTTTGTGTTGCTAAAATTCCTTCCATGGAGGAGCGGTCCCAATAATAAACCAAGGTACAATTCCACTGGAGATCTCCCTGGGGAAGCAATGAGTTTATAGGTAAGAGTTACTGACAGACGTGTGGGCGCTCCACCCCTTCGAAGGCCGTACCAGAAAGGCTTCACCCATCATGGATAAAGGCTCCCCCATAGCTACGTGAATGGAGTCCTGTTCCCATAGTCTTCCCAACCTATGAACTCTAGCCCCTCCCTAAGGGCTAGAATTGCATACAACAGGTTATTGGAAGGAATGGCTAGGATACTCAGGTGAGGAACCCATGGCCCTCCTCCCCTCCTTTGAGGGGAGGTTAACAGTCAAGAAGCCCAGCTGTGATGATCTTTTGCAAGTGGGCACAGCTGAGTTCCTGAAAATGGCATCTATCTGGCTCAGGGGATAGTTTTGTACAACAGTTTTTATTTCATTCATTCATTTATTCATTCACTTATATTTGGCACCAGAGATTGAACTTGGGACCTTATGCATGGTAAGTACAGGCTTCTCCCCTGAGCTATGCTTCTGCCCCAAGATGAACATTTCTGTTCTGTAAAGTTTCAGGCTGAGGAGAAGAAACAGCAGAAGACTGCTTTTGAGCTTTTTGGGGAATGCCAGGAGACTGATGTTAACCCCAAGGTCTGTCTTCTTTTTCAGGTTACGGCAACATGTACCCCGTCACCAGGCTTGGCAGGTTCCTATGCATGCTCTACGCTCTCTTTGGTATCCCTCTGATGTTCCTGGTTCTCACAGACATAGGGGACATCCTGGCCAGCTTTTTATCCAGGGCTTATAATCAGTTCCGAGCTCTCCTTTGCCACCACTGTTCTCCCACCAAGTGGTGCTCCCGCCTGCTCTGCAGGAGGCCACCTGACAGCAAGCCTGAGGATGAAGCCATCCCTCAGATTGTGGTCGATACTGATGCTGATGCTGATGCTGATGCTGATGAGCTCCCAGACCCCCAGCCTGGCAGGAGTCCTTCATCTCCAAGCTGCAACATGGAGTTGTTTGAGAGACTAGTTGCACAAGAGAAACGGAACGTGCTACCACTGCCCATTCAGGCTGTGGAGAGGAGCAGCTCCTGTCCCAATCTGGTGCTGGGACGACTGTCCAGCTCTATCCTCAGCAACCTGAATGAGGTGGGCCGGCAGGTGGAGAGGCTGGACATCCCGCTCCCCGTCATCGCTCTAGTCATCTTTGCCTACATCTCCTGCGCTGCCATCATCCTCCCCTTCTGGGAGACACAGCTGGACTTCGAGGATGCCTTCTACTTCTGCTTCATCACGCTGACCACCATCGGGTTCGGGGACATCATGCTTGTTCATCCTCATTTCTTCCTCTTTTTCTCCATTTATATTATCATCGGCATGGAGATTGTGTGCATTGCCTTCAAACTGATGCAGAACAGGTTCCTGCACCTCTACAAAAACCTCATGCTGTTTTTTGCAAAAGGCAAGTTTTACTTTGCTAAAAAGTGAGGCTACCAGGTGTCCCTGGAATGACAGACAAGGCCCAGAAGGTTTTCTCACCTTGTCATTGGGATAATGTGATTAGAACCTGGGGCTGTAGTCTGAGATCTTGAAGCTTGTGACAAATCCTGCCTGAGGGCTGAGATGGCATCAAGACCCTGTGGAAACCTAGCCACATATATCACATAGGACACCCCCCTCCCCGCCCCCCGGCAGTCCAATCAGATGAAACAAGCTGATGACAGCACTGGTTTCTTGTGACAGGAGGAAAAAAAATAAGACCTTTATTCTGGGCATCTGTACTTTCAGGGAAATTAAAACCTGAGCCAGTCCTGATAAGGCAGAGTGTGGCCCAGTGACCTTTTTCTTCAAATGACAGCATGGATGTACATCGAATCTGCCCCATTCCAGTCACTGATGCCAGTGGGTGACCTTGTCACCTGGAAGGCTTCCTCATAGCCAGATGCTAGAAGCCCACCTTTCCCATCACTCAGACCATGAATGGCACCTCTTGACCAAGTCTGCTGATGACAATATTGCTACCTTTGGGAATGGATCCTCATGTGACAGGGTACCCATTGGGTGGAGACACTGCACAGCTGCCCCTGAGTGACTGGCACAGAGGTGGGCTGCTCAGTGTAGATGCTGTAAGCTACTCCACCCTCATGTCCTGGCAACTAGCTCCCTCTGGGGACTGTCTCTAGCCAATGAAGTGTGGGCATGCATTGAGCTAGCTAGAAGTGCTGGGGAGGTGATGTGTCTGGGAGCAGCTTTTGTCAGTGGATAATGCGGTGGACAGATGGTGCCCGGCTTCATCCTCTTTCCCATAGCCTAGCTCTGGGCCATGCTGCGTACTGTTCCCTGCTTCCCAGTGGGCCCAGGTAACCCTTAGCATGCTCTGAAATGACCTCCCTGGTCTCCTTTTCTCAGTCATCCACTCCTCTACCAAGCTTGCCAAGGCTACCTCCTGTAAAACTCACCCCAACTCAAGTCTACCTCTATGCTGTTCCTAAGGACCCAGAAGAGGATATTTACAAGGTGATGTGGGGACTGGCCAGTCAGCTTGGGAAAGAGCACAGGTCTGGTCTTTTCTTAATTCCTTTGTTCAGAGTTTAGTAGAAATGTCTTATGACTGCATCTTGCCTTTTTAAGAGAATCTTGCAAAATCAGATGAGTCTTGTGATTCACCCAATGAGTCCCTGGGTAAATGGTGGGCAGTGCTACAAGGAAGACTGGAGCAAAGATGCCACAAGGTTCTAGTTTGAAGAGAAATGTTTTAGTTTGCCTTCTCTATTGCTGTGATAAAACACTGACCAAAAGCACACTGGGGAGGAAAGGGTTTATTTCACCTTACAGCTTACAGTCATCATGAAGGGAAGCCAGGGCAGGAACCTGGAGGCAGGAACAGAAGCAGAGGCCATGGAGGAACACTGCTTACTGGCTTGCTCCTCGGGTCTGTGCTCAGCCTGCTTTCTTATACAACCCAGGACCACCTAGCCAGGGTTGGCACCATTCAAAGTGGGCTGCCCCCCACCACATTATTCAACAATCAAGAAAATGCCTCACAGACATGCCCACAGGCCATGCCAATAGAGAAATTCCCCAACTGAGGTTCCCTCTTCCCACATGTGTCAAGTGGTCACCTAAGCTATCCAGCACAAGAAAGAAAAGCACCTGGGCTTGAAGGCTTCACTGTTCTGTCTTTAGTTCTGGCCACTACCAAGGCCAACCTTTAAGAAGGGTCTTAGCTCTCCTTTTCTGGGCCTTTCCCCCTTATCCCCACAGGGATTACATTCTAGGCCTCCTCAGTCCTTGAAGATCTACCCCAGGCAACAGAATTGGTTAGTGTGAGTAAAAGGCAACGAAGGACAGCAAACAGAGTGAAACTGCTCGCTGAGCTCAGGTTTTGTGGTCTGACATCCCCCAAGTCATGTTGATTCAGGTAAGGTGTGGCATAGCCCCTCAAACCCAAAGGCACTCAAGACTGCCCCTCAAAGAGGGGGCCCATGACCAGGCTGGAGGGCTCCTTGAAGTTCTACAAATATCCATTGAGCACTCACTGGCTGTTAGCACGGCTCAGCATATCCAAAGTTGACCCAGACAAATCCCAGAAGCAGAAGTAACTCCATGACATTGACCCCCTTAGCCACCTCTGCCTTTATTTATGCTTTTACATTTATTGATTTGTTATTTTTTATATGTGTGGGCATGAGTACATGCTTGCACATGCCACGGTGCATGTGTGGAGGTCAGAGGACAATTTGTAGGAGTTAGTTCTCTCTTCCACTGTGTGGGATTCTGGGGATTGAACTCAGGTCGTCACGCTTGTCAGCAAACACCTTTACCCACTAAGCCATCTCATCAGTCTTCCTTTATTTTTGAGACAGGGTTTCATATAGCCTGTGTTGGCCTCAAACTCAAGATATAGCCAAGGATAGCCTTGAACTTCTGATCCTTCTGCCTTTACCTCCAAAATTCCGGGATTACAGGCGTCTGCCACACCACTTGGTTTATTAAGTGCTGAGGGTCAAGCCCAGGACTTTGTGCATGCCAGGCAAACACTCCACCCACTGAGCTCCATCCTCAGGCCTGCTACTCATGTCTTGAGGCAATAGGCCATCTTGTTCAAAGGCAGGCATGGGGGGCTCTCAGGAATGCACACTTATAAACTAAAAGTGCTGCTCGCTTGGTTAACCATTTGCTAGTCAGAAATCTTCCACGGCTCTGAGGAAATGGCTCTGTGACTTACTGCTCCTCATTTCTCCCCCTGCCCCATGCAGCCTACAGGCAGCAACATAGTTCCACATCTATATGCCCATAAATAGATTTCCACATCCCCTTGCACGAATGTCAATTCATGTCACCAACCCTTCCAGAATGGCTCTTGGCCTTGCTCCCACAGAAACCTGGGAGTTTCAAACACTTCCTATTGCTCTGGTCCCTACTGTTTGTCTTAATCAGTTTGGACTATGTATTCACATTTTTCATTGTTGTAACAAAATACTCCAGAAAACTTAAAGGCAGACTTATTGTGGTGCAGGGTTTAGAGGGCTCAGTTCATGGTCATTTGACTCTGTGCGTCCAGGATTGTGGTGAGGTGGAAAAGGTGTGGTGGAGCTGGGCTGCTCACCTCATGGGAGGCGAGGGGGGGGAGGAAGGCACCAGGGACAGGATATACCCTTAAATAGCATGTACCTAGTGGCCACTTACTTCAACCTGCCTTACCTCCTAATAGCCCCCTTACTTATGAATATATCAATGGGTTAACTTATTGAGGAAGTTAGAGCCTTTAGGATCCAAACACCTCTGCATAGCCCCATCAGCTGAGGACCAAACTTCTATACATGAGCCTTTGGGGAGACAGCTCATATGCAGACCACAGCAGCCCTATTGTAACACATCACCCTAGATGGAGTGACCCTTTCTCTTGGTTCTGAAGGCTGAAGTGTGTAAACAGAACACTTAGGTTCTTGGGCAGTCTCTCAAGCTTGAAGCCAAGTTTAAGCCTACATGGCTCCATCTTTTCATAAGGGCATTAATCCCATCCTCAGGGCTCTATCCTCAGGACCTTACCTAAACCTTATCCCCCTAAAGGCCTCACTTCCACTGGGAGTTAGTCTCAAAATATGACTTTGGGGTGACACAGACATTTAGTCTACAGCCCCCCAAGCCTCAGGCATTATTGGTTGAGCAATAATGTTGCCTGGGCAATAGAGTTTTGTTTTGTTTTATTTTGTTTTGTTTTTTGTCTTTTTGAGACAGGGTCTCCCTGTAGCCCCAGCTGTCCTGGAACTCACTATGTAGACCAGGCTGACCTTGAACTCACAGAGATCCACTTGCCTCTGCCTCCCAAGTGCTGGGATTAAAGGCATGCACCACTACGCCCAGCTGGCAATAGAGTTTTTAAATGTCTGGGCCTGAATCTGCAGCCAGAGTTGACCAGAACACTAGCCCTGTTCTTCAGGCTTGAGGTCCCCTTCTCCCAGGGGGAGGGGTGAAAGTTCACCTTCCAGGCTCAGTCAGCCTGCGACTTCCCCTCGGTGGTGCCCCCAGATTCCCGGATGTGTCCCTTCCCTGTTCCCACTATATCCTGTCACAGGACTGTAATGAGGTGTGGTTTGCTGGCCCCTGTCCAAACTTGGAGCGCCTGAATAAAACCGAAGTGTCTTATATGCAGCTTTCTCTGTCCTTTGACACCTTTCCTTCCTCACTCCCTGCGCCCCACTAGACTGCTCTGTGGGAGCTACTGCCGGGTCTCAGCTTACCCAGAAGCTTCTGAGCCCTGGAGAGGAGGGGCGTTTGCTGGTCACTTGCTGTGTTTCTAGGCCATGGGTGCAGAAAAAGCCCTGTTCCCCTTGGCACAGTCCATCTCTGAGCTCCCTGCTGTACCAGAACCAAAGTCTTGGGTGTGACTCTGGTCCAGCAGCTGTGTCCTGCCCAGTTGTCCAGCATCCGCCCGGGCATTTTTAATTTAACAAATGGAATTAAGTTCAATGGTAGGTTCAAATAGCGCAGCCAACAAGATAAGGTGGGGAGACAAATGGAGCAAATTCAGAAGATCCAATCCCGGGGGACCCCAGGGACTGCAGAGCCTGCTTGTGACGCTGCTGTCTGCGTTGCTGAGATGACCTCATCAGCCTTGACCTTCGCCAGTTTGGTGTCTCGGTTCCCGCAGGGCTGCAAGGCCCCACCGGGCGGAGAGTGCGAGTCTCAAGGAGCCACCAGGTGGCGCGCCAGACCGCGCCGACCTCGCGCTGCTGAGCCAGCAGGTGGCAGGTCCACACTGGTCGGCTTTGGACTCCTGCGCCTTCCAGGAAAGGGCTTCAAGTGGATATTCCACCCAGCTCATCTCAGTACATGAAAGAAATGTTCCCTCTTGAATCACCCCCACTTGACTGGGGGACTTGTACGTAACTCGGCTCCCTTACCTTGGCGCTTGAAGAAGCTGCTTCCCAGTTTGCAAGAGACACCTGGGAGCTTCTAGCAGCTTCGAAGCCTGATCCAGGATT